TCATACTAGGGAACAAATAAAACAATGTAAATTGTAAAGATATATGCAACACGGTTATAGTAATAAGTGGGTCCTAGGAAGTGTTATTATAATCTAATAGTAAAGGAATAATAGTAATACAGTCTTAGTAAATAAGTTGACAGTGTTGTGGGAATTAGTTGTTTAGCAGAGTGATGGCATTCAGGAAAAAACTGTCCTTGTGTCTAGTTGTTCTCGTGTGTAGTGCCCTATTTTGTTGTTTTGAGGGTAGAAATTGAAACAATTTATGTCCAGGATATGAGGGGTCTGTAGATATTTTCACAGCCCTCTTTTTGACTGGTGAGTATATAGGTCCTCAATGGAAGGCAGGTTGGTAGCAATTGTTTTTTCTGAAATTCTAATTATCCCTTGAAGTCTGTGTCTGTCTTATTTGGTTGCAGAGCCAAACCAGACCGTAATAGAGGTACAGACGAGAGACTCAATAATTCCTCTGTAGAATTGAATCAGCAGTTCTTTGGGCAGTTTGAGCTTTCTAAATTGGTGCAGAAAGAACATTCTTAGATTGTGCTTTTTTGATGACATTTTTTATATTAGATGTCCATTTTAAGTCTTGAGATATGATAGAACCTAGAAACTTGAAGGTCTCTACTGTTGATACTGTGTTGTCTAGTATCGTAAAAGGTGGTTGCATGGGAGGGTTTCTCCTAAAATCTACCACCATTTCTATGGTTTTGAGTGTATTTAGTTCAAGATTGTTCTGGTTACACCAAAAGGCTAGTTGTTCAACCTCCTGTCTATGCAGATTCACCGTTGTCTCAAATGAGACCGATCACTGTTGTATCCTCTGCGAACTTCAGTACTTTAACAGAGGGATGTTTTGAGATGCAGTCATTGGTATTTTGAGAGAAGTGGAGAGAACACACAGCCCTGGGGGGCTCCTGTGCTAATTGTCCAGGTATATGATGTGATTTTGCCTAGCTTTTTCTGTTACTTTGTCTATTTTGTGCTCCCAACAGTTCTTGTTTGCAGGCAAATTATATTTCTTGTGATATTCCAATGTATTATTGTTGCTACTTTGTTATGCTGTTGTTTGTTGTCAATCTGCATGAGCTTCTTGTAGCTCACAAGGTAGTTCACTCTCTTCAGTTTCTTTTCAGGGGCAGCATTTGCTTTCTATTGATGTCTTCTCAATTCTGGTTTTGTATGTGTTTGTTCTTAAGATTTGGTCTTGTGCAGCCAGAATTATACTGTCTCTTTCTACAACTTTCCTGCCATGTCTCTTTTCTATTCTTCATTTAATCTTTTTTTGTAGGCCACTTTGATCTGAGACTTAGTAAGCCTTCCTGGTGTACTAGCTTCCGTGCATCTTTTTCACTGTCCTTCAGACACTCTTCCAATGCCCTTTTTTATTCTTTAACTGTCTGGTGTACTTGCGACATTCCATATTCGCCTATGCTTGGTAAGTAGAAGGGCATGAATCAATTTTTATTATTGTGTCTGGTCTTCCTATTCAGGGCTCTTAGTTCTGCTTGAGTGCAGTCCACTGTTACAGCTTTGTATGGTCCAGCTCTGTATTTAATGACTGGAATTATCCAGGTATTAATTGGCTTGGTATATTTCTTCTATTGAGTTTGGACTTTAAAATCTTCACTCTCATGATGTGTTCAATTTTAACCAGATGTGATATTCAGCAGGTTCTGACCAGTTCTGGAGAACCGGTAATTTTGAGTAGTTCAGAGAACCGGCAAATACCACCTCTGACTGGAGATTTTACAGTATCCTTCCCCTGCCACGCCCACCAAGCCTCACGCACAGAACTGGTAGTAAAAAAAATGTGAATCCCACCACTGGTTTTAACATTCTTCTTGACTTTATTCTGCTTGATGTTTTTAGCTTGAAAGATTCCCACATATTTATAATGATCTTCATCCATCCTCTTCATGGTATTTCCACAGGGCATTTTGACTCCTTATTAGCCATGGTGGTGCAGTGGTGGTTAGAATGCAATATTGCAGGCTAATTCTGCCCACTGCCAGGAGTTCATTCTTCAATGGCTCAAGGTTGACTCAGCCTTCCATTCTTCCAAGGTGGTAAAATAAGAATGTCAGGGCTCTGCTAGTGACCCCCATTTAAATCATGAGTCTCTAGCCTGATTTTCAAACCTCAAAGAAGGTTTATTAGGGGAAGACATGCCAGTGCTGCCTGGGTGTAGCCGACTCTGAGACACATCATTCATTGTCACCATTGACCCTGGTTTTCCCCCACCCCCAGGGTGTATCATAATTCATATTCTCCAATGGGGCACATCCATGGCCAAGAGTCATCAATCATACTCTCTGTTCCGGACTAGCAGGCTCGAAAGCCTACAACTCTGATTGGCCCGCGAATAGCAGATCGTGATTGGTCACCACAGACTGATCTGATTGGTTAGTAAACGGGCTGCCGTGATTGGCCCAGCCAAGAGTGGCAAACTCAAATCGCCTTCATTGGCTGCCTAGCCGCAGCCACCCCTATATAAGGGGCTGCTGCGGCCGGGATATTTCGCTCAGATCTGAAGTCACTAATAAAGAGCTGTTGTTCTTATCTGAGTCTTGCCTCCATTTTTGAACCATCCTCCCAGATCTAATACTGGGGACGAGGATGGGATGCGGAGGCAACGAAGTCTACTGAACACAAGCTAAGCAGAAGGAGCATGTGGTCGACAGAGCGCAACATCGGCAACATGGCCAGCAGCGCTATACCACCCGCCCCATTCGATCCAGCTAGCGAGGATTGGGACTCATATATGGACAGGTTTCAAATGTTCCTAGAGTCCAACAACCTCAAAGATGCCACAAACAGCAAGAAACAAGCCATTTTTCTAATGCATTGTGGAGCTACCGTCTTTAAAATGGCTAAAGCACTAGCGAAACCAGCTGAAGTTAAAACGATGGACTGGGATACACTTGCTCCCATCCTTCGCAACCATTACGCCCCAGCAGTACCGACTCTCATTCGCAGACATGAGTTCTATCAGAGGGACCAGCGTGAAGGTGAGAGCATCGGGGATTTCATGGCAGACCTGAGAAACCTGGGCGGTTTATGTGGCTTCTCTAATCTCGAAGAAGCCATGAGAGACAGAATGGTTCTTGGCCTAAGTGATCCAACTGTCCAAAGCAAGATCCTGGCCAAGGGAGACATCTCACTTGCAGATTCCGTAGCAGACGCTACTGCAGCTGAAGCCACTCATAAATCAGCTGCAAGAATGTGCCGAACCAGCGGGACCAACCGCCAACCCACCAACGATGCTGGGAAACCTTCAGACAAGTACACATCGGCCACCCATCATGAAGATATCGAGTCATCCTCAGACAGCGAGGAGGAAGAAGTCCACAGACTCGGGTCAGAACATGACCAACAGGACCAGCAGGGTGGTAAATCGAACTACCAATGCGCCGGATGCGGTGGGAACCATCCACGATCCGAGTGCAGATTATTAGACGCTATTTGTCGTTTTTGTGAAAAACGTGGGCATATTGCTAAAGTATGCAGAAACAAGAGAGGTTCCAGCCCCAGATGGAGAGGGAGCAGTCCGAAAAGAACCGATGGCAACCCCACCACACAGAGGGACCGCCCTAGTAACCAGTGGAACCAGTACAACAGACCCCGAAGGTTTAATGGTATGCCCAGACGAGAAGAGGCTCATCAAACCATCACCATTGGCCACGCTTCATCGCTTGATACAAAGAAAATTTGTGTAGAAGTCACCATCGAAAATAAACCGTGCATCATGGAAGTAGACTCTGGTTCTTCCCTATTTATGGTATCCTGGAAAACCCTCAAGCAGCTGATTCCCAACATCCGACGCCAAGACCTCAGCAGTCAGAGACTTATACTAAAAGATTACCAAGGCAACCGGATTCCAGTCGCAGGTACTAGCCATTTCCAGGTCTCCTTCAAAGGACATACTGCAATACTACCACTCACCATTGTCGATAGAGACCAGCCAAGTCTACTTGGCCTTCAGTGGTTCGCGCCATTAGGAATCGGAATGGCCAGCATCCATCATACCGAAGACGATGACTGGGAAGCAGCCCTCGTCCATGATTTCTGAGAAGTTTTCAGAGACAAGTTAGGCAAGCACAAGGGGTCCCCTATTTCGTTTAATATTCGCCCTGACATTGCGCCCATTCGCCTAAAACCACGCCGAGTTCCCTTTGCTCTCAAACCCAAAATTGATGAGCAACTGGACAAATTAATTGCAAAAATTTTAGCAAAGGGTTCTCTGCCCGGTTGCTGTGTGGACGTGGCCTAGTCAGCCTCCTGCATCATGGTGAACCTTGGCTCTTGAAGCTTTCTTCGAGCCTCCAGGAGGGCAAAAACAGCCTCCCCAGGCTCCGGAAGCTCTCTGGAAGCCACAAATGGGACCATTTCCAGCCTTCCCAAACTTCCAGGAGGCTCGTTTTTTCACCCTCCCTGAGCCTCTGTGCACACCCTGCACTTACTTGCATCCAAAATGGGCTATTTGGGGACTCCTGGAAGGGGTGGGGTAGGCCAGGAGTGGGATTTGGGGGTTCTCTGAACTGCACAGAATCTTAGCTGGGTCTCTCCCGAATCTCTGCGAACCCCCATCAGTCCACCCTGCCTCTGTCCCCAATATTATTACTAGAGAACTTTCTGGCCTTGTGACTAAACAACTGGGGGAAATGCAGTTGAATTAGTGTTTGACTTCAGCCGAGAAAATCTATCCTTGATATATCCTCAAATTGTAGGGCCTGGGAAATAAAAAGCTCCTTTTCACTAACTCTCAGGTGGAATTGTTTCAGCTGTAACAAATAAATATTTACTAATTTGATTCAGAAAATAAAATGGTGCGAATAATGGAAGATCTTGAAAATCTAGCTCTATTACAACTTTTTTCCTGTGGAAAGTTTAGTTGAAAATGCATAACTTGCTAATCACGGTAGGGAGGTCAGAGTTCTACCTTTGCTATCACTACCTGATATCTGTTACCTCATTGGTGCATTAAGTTCCAACTGCAGAGGCTTTATTTCCTCCCCTGGTGAATTAGTTATCTGACTGCTGGGCTAGAGTGTGAAATTAACCTAAGAAACTCTACTTTCAGAACCATCATGGACCCAATGGAAATGAGCACTGGAGGCATGAGGCAAAGAAGATCCCAGGAGCAGGCCAGGGGAGAAGAGGAAACACAAATACTCAATGGTAAGGAGGCATTTAAGGGGCATGGATGATATATTTTGCTACACAATTGGGTGGGGGATAGCCTTGCTGTGGATAAATTGTCTGAGGATTTTCAATTAGGTCTTGGAATTAGGTAGTACTATGCAGAGATTAGCATTTTGGGAGCCACAGCAAAAAGCCTAGAATGATATGGTAATGTTTTATGCTGTTTTGCTTAATAATTAAGCAAAATAGAATTGTACGATAAACACAGACTTCCAGATCTGCTGGTTAAAAGCAGTTACTATAGTGTGGAAATCTGCTTTTTAAAAAAGACTACAAAACTGAATAAAAACATACCATATAAAATACTTCAGGAGCCTGATAGAAATAGTTTTGGACCTGCTTTATCCACCCCAAAGGAAAAAGAATGTGAAGAGTGGAGAAACGAATGCTTGAAATTTGAAGTAGTAATTTAGAACAAAAAACTCTGTACAATGAGAAGATTTCTGTCTAATCCAAGCAATAAACTCACCCAATGTCAAATCATACTTTTAAAGTGAAGCTGTTTCTAACTCTCTAGGAGAAGCTGAACACCTGGAGAAAATAACTGCCCACATCCAATGGAAGAGACACCTGGAGGTAATAATAGATAATAGGTACTAATAAAGCAGGAAGGAGTTAGTACTAGAGAGACAAATATTCTCCCTAAATGATGAATTATCAAGAATTATGAAAATGGTCAAGTCTATGGCTCCACAGTCAAATGGTCTTTATCATAGAGTATTAGCTCCTAGAGGTTTACTAGGCTTTCTGAGCAAGGAAGTTTCTGGCACAGATCAAGGAAGCAAAGCAACTGGACAATGAGTAAGAACACACAGTTATAGCTAATTCGTTGAGGAGAGCTAGCCATTGCATGAGGGAATCTAAATTGTGATTAGTTGCTGTGAGAGTAAAGGGGGAGTTTCCTTGTAGCCCACCTTTTTCCCCTGTGTGCCCTGTGTGCTGCCTGCAATTTACTTCATGATGTTCCTACTGTAAATATATTTATTTATATGAAACTGTAAGTTTGTGTCAGCATCTCTGACTCCATTTGGACATCATCTGTGCAATTCCCTGACAGTATCCATCACCTAAATGTATTCTAGGAATCTATTAATGACAGGCCTGGGCATCATTAAATTCCCTTTGTTTTATTGGTAGGTAATGAAGGTGAAGATACTAGACCAGGTACACAATCAGCTGAGTGATCTCTTAGACAAGACCTTGGAAGAAGCAGCTCATTCCAGACCCCAGCAACTGAGCGTGGTCCCAGCAAAGAAGCAAAGCAGGTGGAAGAGGTTCCTTGCAATTGATTTTAGATCAGGGATAAGGAAAATAGAGTCATCACAGTGCTGGCTCAATGGCCTTGAAACAGCGATGAGCACCCCCTCTGATAGTCATCAATGACTATGGAGTAAAATCCTCAGGGACTTTTTTTACCTTTACCCCCTTCTCAGAGGTGAGAGGAATTTTGAGAGATCTATTAAATATTACCTGCTTTGTAATCTTATCATGCAGAAAGAAGGGTCAGCTACTGAAGAAGAAAGTCTTTGTCCCTCAACGGTCCTTGTCTGAGTAAGTATGTCTGGTCATAATATAAACAAAACTTAAGAGTCAGAGGGACAATATGCAAGGATCTCTAAGGCCTCCGGTTCCAAAGGTGGCCTTGGACAAAATAATTGATATTCCACTGTTGATAAAGAACAAGAGTTGGAATAAGGACTGAGCATTCTCTATAGCCAATGATGAGACTCTTTGGTGGGTGCCGGAAAAGGAATGGATACTGCAGATGGGAAACAAAAGGAAGTATTTTTGAAAGGATTAGGTTGATTAGGTGGCTAGCACAAAGTTATTACTAGCATATTAGAATAAGGCTGTGTTTAGTCTCAGCAGGAGTGAGTTAACTGCTGGGTCCAAGGGCTCAAATGCGGTCCTATGTTGAGGACTATCTGTATATCATAAGAGATGGAACATTTTCCCACCAGCCACTTGAATGTTATTTCTTTTGTACAAGTGAAACTACAAGTTTTTGCGCAGAAGACCAGATGAAAATCTTTGGGACCCAAATCTTGTCCAATGATCTCCAGCTGCCCATCTCTCCCAACATCTGTTACTTACTTGCTGGCAACTTGTCTCTCTTTTACAGCACGTTGCTGGAGGTGGAACATTTCCGCACAATCCATCACATATTTGTGGCCGTGCTCTGTATCTTTGTCCTCAAACAAATCATTGTGGATTCCATCGAGGAAGGACGGTATGATTTAGAAGAGGGGGCAGGGTGGAAGGTCTTCCCACTGATGTATGCTAATTCTGGGGATATGATGCAATTTGTTTTGTGTTAAGGGACACAGTACAAATCCTAAGAGCATATTTACCTAATCTTTGAACTTAGATTCCATTCAAAGTTTAACATTCTTGGGTCCCTACCAAGGCTTTGGGCCCATGCAGGGAGCCCGATCCTGCTGCATCTCCTCCCACTTGTCACTGTTCATCTAGTTGCTAAAAAAATGCAATTTATTCTTCTTCTTGTTTTTGGGCTCCTGTTGAGCAGTAACACTTGGGACCCTCCTATGCTTGCCTAGAGATTAAGCCTAAGTGAGGAATGCCTCCCTTGGTGCCACCTTTGTTAGGCATCAAACACTCTTCTCTATGCTAGCAGCCTACTAATGCAGTTCACTTCTTCTACCCTCCTTCTGAATGAATCTTATTATCTTTTGGACATGTATTCTTGGCTGAACGTATGTGTTGTGTCTCATAGTATGCACCTGCCATTTGTTGACATGGTTTGTATTTGTACTATATTCCATTCCACCTGAACAGTGGTCAAAACCTATAAATAAATTGATTAATTGACCAATTGACTTCAAAGAAAATCAGGCTAAATTTACTATTAACACAGGAATTGAAAAATATTTAAAAAATCGGAACAGTAAAAGAAGGACACTAATCCTTTCAGAGCGGCTGGGATATGCAAAAATCCAAACAACCGTGTGATGTTGGCAGAGAGGTATACAAATATTTTTCTGTGCCACCTATGTCTCAGATGGATTTTTGCAATCCAGATCCAGTAGCCATAAGAAAGGAAAATATAAGGATCCAGTCAGGGTTGGTCACCATGACCAGAGGTTTAGTCTTCCGAGTTTTCGGACTCGTGCTGGAGCCCATCTTCAGGGAACTTCTCTCTCAACAGAACGTGAGAGTGACACCACCCTAAGAGAATTTATAGCAGCAGTAGACTCTATAGTCAACAGATCTGAGATACAAGAGCCAGAAAAACATGCCATCGGGCAAAAAGAATTGGCAGTGCTGATCACACACAAACCAAACAATATGCTTAGTCCAATGGAGTGACACACTTTGAAAGACTTGGAAAACAAACAAACAAACATTCTGGTTAGAGAGAAGTTCCCTGAGGAGGGGTTCCTACACAATTGTGAAACTTGGAAGATTAAACCTCTAGTCCTGGCGATTGACTCTGATTGAATCCTCCAACATTATCCTGGGATACGTATATTTGCCTTCATTCATGGGAAAACATGAAGCCAGTTTTGAGCCAGTTTCCATGTGTCTATGAAAAATCTGGTTCTGGCATTATTCCAGCCTTTTGCCCATTCTGGTCATTGTAGTGTTTATCTGTTTTTAATGTTGTATGATGCCATGAGCTATTTTTTAATTGGGAAGCCTTACAGGTGAAACTCAAAAAATTAGAATATCGTGCAAAAGTTCATTTTTTTCAGTAATGCAACTTAAAAGGTGAACCTAATATATGAGATAGACTCATTACATGCAAAGCAAGATAGTTCAAGCTATGATGTGTCATAATTAAGATGATTATGGCTTACAGCTCATGAAAACCCCAAATCCACAATCTCAGAAAATTAGAATATTGTGAAAAGATTCAATATTCTAGGCTCAAAGGGTCCCACTCTAATCAGCTAATTAAGCCATAACACCTGCAAAGGGTTCCTGAGCCTTTAAATGGTCTCTCAGTATGATTCAGTAGGAATCACAATCATGGGAAAGACTGCTGACCTGATAGTTGTGCAGAAAACCATCACTGACACCCTCCATAAGGAGGGAAAGCCTCAACAGGTAATTGCAAAAGAAGTTGGATGTTCCCAAAGTGCTGTGGAAGGGAAAAGTGTGGAAGAAAAAGGTGCACAAGCATCCGAGATGACCGCAGCCTGGAGAGGATTGTCAGGAAAAGGCCATTCAAAAGTGTTGCGGACTTTCACAAGAAGTAGACTGAGGCTGGAGTCAGTGCATCAAGAGCCACCACACACAGACGGATCCTGGACATGGGCTTCAAATGTCGTATTCTTCTTGTCAAGCCACTCCTGAACAACAAACAACATCAGAAGCATCTTACCTGGGCTAAAGAAAAACAGAACTGGTCTGTTGCTCAGTGGTCCAAAGTCCTTTTTTCTTTTTCTTTTTTAAACAAATTTTATTAGTTTTTACAAAACAATACACAAACAAACAAAGCATAGATATAATAACATAAAGGATCTTTTCTGAAAAAACCAATAGAACATCTTATTTAGAAACTGAATAATTCCAAATTATCACATTTCCATACAAACACAATTAAATATATATATTTACATTATTTGTTCAACTTCATATCTTATCCCAACTTCTCTTTATTTCTCCCTTTCATTCTATTATTCAAATTATATTTCTTGCTAATAGTAATTTTATTGCTTTTCAAGGACAATACACAAACAAAACATAAAACATAAAAACATAAAAGATCTTTTCTGAAAGTTGCTTGTTCCCGAGTTAAAACTCTTCGTACAGACACAAATTCAAAAATCATGTTCATTTTATATACCATTCCATATCTTATTACCATTTTCAATTTTCTATATAGCTTCTTCCCTCTTTTAACTTTCTTAGTTTTATTTTATTTATCTCATCTCAGTTCAAATCATAATACTTATAATTCTTTGTCTGTTCTATTTCCAGCTATCCATCTTTTCTCTTTGAACAAAACTTCTCCTGTACACTAACTGGAGTATGATGCCTTTAACTCTTTCCCCTAACTTAATAATACTTAATATAACACATAACTTATATTGGGATTCTGTTTAGTACATTCTAAAATTACACAATGTATTTTATAAGAAAGAAAAACAACAACAAAGGAACAAATTTATAGGTATATAATGTAGCTAAGACGACTATCAATGCCATTAAAAAATTAATCATACATATTAATACTCATTTATATCTAAAGCATTTTATTCTAAATACATATATAAAAACACAATCTAATGTACCTTACAGAATCCCTTTTTCAATTAAATTTACCCATTGTCTCTAAATGAATTTTGTTTCTTTAAATCTTGCTTCCCACCATTGAGGCTTCTCATCCCTTCCTTTCTCCCTTGCTTATTTTTCTCCTTACCCTTTTTACCCCTTTGTCTCTCCGCCTCCCTTTTCTTCTTCTGCTTTCCCCCTTTCTGTTGTTTTCTAAGCTTGTATCCACCTTTCAACTCATTTTTCTCTTTTTTGGTTGTTTTTTCAAGTCTTAAAGTCCCCTTTTTCTTTTCCTCTTTCTCCTCCTCCCCAAATAGAATCACTTGTTCATCAAAGATGGCTTCTTCTTTATCCCAATCGTCCTGCTGCGCAGTCAATTTTTCATAAGTACATACATACCGCCATTTCTAGAAATTGAAAAAGAGTGCCCAAAGTATTTTTCCCTTCTTGTTCTTCCTTTTTGCATTTTTGATATTCAATTTTTAATTCATCCACAAGCGATGCCATTATAAAGAGAAAAAATTTTTCCAAAACAACCACCCAAGTGCTTTTAATCAAGAATAATTCCCAAGGGTTCCAAAGTCACGAAACAATCCAAATAAGCTATTTCTTTTAGCACTTTTTTCTTTCTTCCATTTCTCTTTCTGGGGTTGCTGTTTAATCACAAAGTTCCAATAAAGATATATCTTTTTGAAGTCTTATTAATGTTCAATAGCTCTTTAAAATTCTAGGCAGTCTCCTCCTTGTTTTCAAATTCTACTCCAATTTTTTTCCTCTCCCTTCCCACTTACAGCAAAAAAGATTTTTCTTTAAATATTCAGAAATCCATATCCCTTTAGCATTAGCATTTAGCCTTTAGCATTTAGCATACCTCCAATGCGGGTTTTCCGATTTCTCATAAAGTTCTATCGCTGTCATGTTTGGAAGGAGAGTGAAAAGAAAAAAAGTTTTTCCTTTAACTTCCATTCGCCGCTTAGCACAGTCTGGAAACAATGTATCTTTAGTAAGTTTTAAGTTCCAGGGTACTTTCACTGTTACTTTGTCCCGGTCAGCAAAGATCACTTTCGTTTCTTCATAGCTCCTCCTGCACTTTCTTTTTCAGTCTGAGCTCTTCTATGTGGTGGCCATTGCTGACTGCCGCTCAGCTGCCTTTGGAAAAGGGGGTTTAGCCAGCTAGGGAAGAGAGGTGTGATATCTCTCAACCCTGCCAGAGCCCCCTGTCTTTGCCACCTTCTACGGAGGTGGCTTAGCCCCGAAGCCGAATAGCTCAGGGCACTCGAGCAGTGAACACAGGCAGAAACAGCGTACAGTCGCGGATTCCTGCCTGCTCCGAAGCGCTGCAGACCGGAAATCCCCCAAAGTCCTTTTTTCTGATGAGAGCAACTTTTACATCTCATTTGGAAACCAAGGACCCAAAGTCTGGAGGAAGAATGGAGAGGCACACACTGCAAGATGCTTGAAGTCCAGTGTGAAGTTTCCACAGTCTGTGTTGATTTGGGGAGCCATGTCATCTGCTGGTGTTGGTCCACTGTGCTTCATTAAGTCCAGGGTCAACGCAACCGTCTACCAGGAGATTTTGGAGCACTTCATGCTTCTTTCCACAGATGAGCTTTATGGGGATGCTGACTTCATTTTCCAGCAGGACTTGGCACCTGCCCACACTGCCAAAAGCACCAAAAACCAGTTCAATGACGGTGGGATTACTGTGCTTGATTGGCCAGCAAACTTGCCTGACCTGAACCCCATAGAGAATCTATGGGGCATTGCCAAGAGAAAGATGAGAGACATGAGACCGAACAATGCAGAAGAGCTGAAGGCTGCTATTGAAGCATCCTGGTCTTCCATAACACTTTAACAGTGCCACAGGCTGATAGCTTCCATGCCATGCCGCATTGAGGCAGTAATTGCTGCAAAAGGGGCCCAAACCAAGTACTGAGTACATATGCATGCTTATACTTTTCAGAGGTCCGATATTGTTCTATGTACAATCCTTGTTTTATTGATTGTCTATAATATTCTAATTTTCTGAGATTGTGG